GCCATAAAGTTTCAAAGAATGGCATTGAATTTGATCCAGCCAAAGTTTCAGTGATTACAAAGTTGCCCCTTCCTACTTCCATCAGGGGAGTAAGAGCTTTCCTTGGGCATGCCGATTTTTACCGGAGATTTATTAAAGATTTTTCATTAATCACCAAAACTTTTACCAAATATCTCAAAAATGATGTTTTTTTTAGCTTCAATGAGGCTTACCTTGAAGAATTTCGTAAGCTCAAGGAAGCTCTTATTTCCTCTCCCGTTGTGCAAGCTCTAGATTAGAGCTTTCCTTTTAAGCTAATGTGCGATGCTAGTGACTTTGCAGTGGGTGCCTTATTTAGGCAAAAGAAGGAAGGAAAATCTTATGTCCTCTACTATGCAAGTAGAACTCTTGATGATGCTCAAAGGAGCTACACTACAACGGAAAAGGAAATGTTAGCGGTGATGTTTGCCTTTGACAAGTTGCGATCCTGTCTTATTTGCTCTAAGGTGATTTACACAGATCATATAGCGGTTTGATATCTCGTGACTAAGAAGGAAGCAAATCCACATCTTATCCGTTGGGTTCTTGAGGTGGTGGTTATAGGAACCAAGGGATCCAAGGTTCTCGAAGTAACTATTACAATCAAGGTTATGTATCCAAAATCAAAATAAAAATTATGGTAATCAAAACCAAGGTTATGGAAATCATAATCAAGTTAGTGGTAACCATAATCAAGGTTATGGTCAAAATTAAAATAGGGGTAATTGGAACAATCAAGGCAAAGGCAATTTTCAAAACAATGCTCAAAGAGGCCCTCCACCCGTATTTGCTCCAAAGACTCAAGGTGATAATTCCTATTCATAATCCTCTTCCTCTAGGACTAATTTGGAGGAAATAATTGAGAATCAAACAAAATTGTTGAACACTTACATGGTCATAAGTGACAAGAAATTCAATGAAATGATGACTCATAATAAGATGCTTGAAAACCAAATTTCTCAACTTGCCAATGCTTTGAAATACCATTCTAGTCCTTCTTCTTTACCTTCCCAAGGCCTAGATCCCAGGAGACCCGTGAATGCTATTGTTACAAGGAATAGTAAGGTTCTTGAGGAGAGTTTTCCTAAGAAGAGTGAAACTAAGGAAGTCCTCAAGGAGGTTTTGGTAGAGGATGAGAGAGATGGTGCATCTTTGAGTGAGGTTGTGATTGAGACACCTAGTGAGGTGAGAGTAGAGAAAGAAATTGTGAAATTCAAGGTTCCTTATCCACAAAAATTCATGAAACACAAGCTAGATGAACAATTTGGAAGATTTATTGACATGATTAAACAACTTCACCTTTCTCTACCATTTACCGAAGTGGTCACCCAAATGCCCAACTATGAAAAATTCCTCAAAGACATTTTTAGTGGGAAAAGAGCTTGTGTTGTTGTGGAGACGGTCAAATTGACCAAGAATTGTAGTGCAATCATAATGAACAAGATGCATCCCAAGTTGAAAGATCCCAGAAACTTCTCTATTCCTTGTGCCATTAACAAGATGCAAATTGATAATGCCTTATGTGACTTATGAGCTAATGTTAGCCTAATGCCATATTCGGCCTATCAAATACTTGAGTTAGGGGAACTTTTGCCTTCCAACATTACCTTGTAGTTAGCCGATAGGTCAATCAAATTTCCAAAGGGTAAGGTGGAAGATGTTCCTTTGAGAGTAGGGAAGTTTGTGATTCCGGTAGATTTTGTAGTTCTTGAAATGGATGAAGATGCTACCATTCCTATTATTCTTAGTAGACCTTTTCTTGCTACCTCGGGTGCCATGATTGATGTTAAGAGTGCAAAAATTTCACTTAAAGTAGGAGATGAGGTCATTGAATTTGACTTGAATGAAAGCATGAAGTATCCATGTTCTTCTTAGAAAATTGCATGTTTATTGGTTCTCTTGATCATGCTGTATCTTCTATGCATGAGCACTTGCTCACTTCTAATGATCTTGTTGAGAATGTCTTGTTGAATAAGGGTAAGATAGGTGCTCCTATCAAGGAAATGGCAATGTATGAGGATTTGCTAAATGGAAGCATCGAGGAAGTGGATGAGCATATATGCATGAATATCTCTAGGCAAGAGGCTTCTCAAGCTGCCACTTCAAAGGAAGGTAAAGGTGTACCAATGGTTGAGCTCAAACCTCTTCCATCACACCTTAGGTATGAATTATTGGGACCCAACTCCCTTTTTCCCGTGATTGTTAGCTCTTCTTTGAGTGAGCACCAAGCTCAAAATTTGTGTGATGTTTTGAGGAAGCATTAAGGTGCTTTGGTTTATACCATTGATGACCTCAAAGGTATAAGCCCCGCTTTATGTACACATCACATAACTCTTGAAGAGGGTGCTTTACAATCTATTGAGAGGCAATGAAAGCTACATCCCCTAATGGGAGAGGTAGTGAAGAAGGAGATCACCAAACTTTTGGATGCGGGAATCATATTCCCCATTTCTAGTTCTAGGTGGGTTTCTCCCGTTCACGTTGTCCCAAAGAAGGGAGGTATGACCGTCGTTGAGAATGAGAAAGGTGAGCTCATTCCGACGAGAACGGTCACGGGATGGAGAGATCATTTCCCCCTTCCTTTTATTGATCAAATGCTTGAGAGACTAACAAGGAACAAGTTCTATTGTTTTCTTGATGGTTATTCAAGATTTTTCTAAATCCCTATCCACCCGGATGACCAAGAGAAAACAACCTTCACTTGTCCATATGGTACATTTTCCTATAGGAGAATGTCGTTCGGCCTTTGCAATGCTCCCACGACCTTTCAAAGATGCATGATGAGTATATTTGGAGATATATTGGAAGATGTAGGGAATATTTCAAGCATTACCCCAAACTTGAACCCCAATGTGATCATACACTTAGGCATGGTGGCGTCCAAAGGGAAGGAAGCTAGAGCAAAAGAGTCGCCAACAAGTTTTAGGAACTTATAAATCGTTCACAGGGTGAAGGTTACACCCCTTAACGATCCGTGAGATCGTTAACTCCAATAGGTCTGGAACCATGACTGGAAGTTCGGGGATGAAGATACAAATCCAATCTAAAAGAGAAAGATCCTGCCCTAATAATAGGCCTCTACTTTATTCTTCTCGTATTCATGTGCGCTTTCTAACTAACATGCAATCTTAGGTGTACCCTAAACCTGTTTATCTATGTTGGTTGAATATTAATGCTCAAATAAAACTATTATTGGCGATCACTTGAATTATAATCAAATTAACCCTAAACAAGATTATAAATTATCTTATTAAGCATGACCACAAGTACAAATTCCCTTTCAACATGCATAAAAGGTGTGATCAAGCAATAACAATAAATACATATAAAGGAACATAATAATAATTATAAAATAATAATAATCATAATTAAAATAATCATGATCATGTTAAAAATAAAGCATAATAATAGCAAGATCCTGGGCATGATACTAACAAGATTAATAACAAACCCTAGCATGTCACTAAACAATAAAGATCTAATATTTAGCCCTAACATGATACTAACATGAATATTAGGAAAGAAAATAAGAAGCATCATCGGAATCATAATTGATATTAGGAACTTATTGTTGTCACCCTAAACATCATACTAAGAAAAGCATCCTAACATGATACTAGGAATTAAAATAACAACCTAAACATGGTTTCTATATCGAAATAACAATAAAGCAATTAAAGCACTTACTTGGATGCCTCGTACCTGTTTCTAATAACAAAATACACACGTTAGTAACTTCAAGGGATATAATAAAATTAAAGAATTAAATTAAATAATTAAAATAGAGATTAAAGAAAGTTTAGACTAGAATTGGGACCAAACCCTGAGAAATCAAACCTTTCACGTCTAGGGCAAAGGCTACCTTGAACATGGCTAGGTGTGTCTGGATCTTGTGAATGCGAAATTTTGTATTTGAGAAAAGGCTAGTTTAGAAAAGAGATAGAGAGTATCAAGAATGTCTTGATGAGTGTTGGTCCTTTGAAAACGGAGGTTTTAGGAGGCTTTATATAACGAAAATCAGCAAGAATATGATAAAAAAGAATCAGAGTTTCGAAAAGAATAAAACAAGACGTTGTCGCCACACACGCCTCTGTCGCCAAACGACAGAGCCTGTCGCCAAGCGACAAACGTTTCACCGCGACGCCTGGCTTGTCGCCAGGCAACAGGCTGTAATGCGGCGCTATAGACAGTTTTTCCACGCGTTTTCATATTTTGATAAAATTTAAGCGTACGAAGGGTAAAACTGTAATTTCCTTTCAAACACTTCTTTTATTCTATATAAAACTCATAAAACTCAATTATCAATGCTAATCACGTTAGGATTGAAAAGAACCTTCTAGAAGATTCTAGAAAACCATAATCAATCCTAATTGCATTAGGAATGATAAATCATAATAGGCCCTCCTCTAGATCATTGGGCCGCATATAAAAATCAAACCGGGCCCATTTTAGTAATTTGGCCATAATTTCCTCATTATTCATCGAAATTGGGCTTATAATATATCGTTGGAAAGCTCTTTTCGAACCCGATCCATGTATACCATTATTGGACCCTTTCCATGGACCAAACTAAACTAGATTGGATATTTTCATAAAATAGGTTTTCTAAAATAGAGAGAAAGAAGAGAATTAAGAACTAACCGCAACACCAAACTTTCCACACTTTCACTTCATTCAATCATGATTCGACGTGAAAGGTATTCATCACCGGGTTTGGTTTTGGGGAGACACAAATAGGTGTCTACAGAAGAGGAGATGGAGGTTCTTATGGATGACTTCTCCGTAGGAGGTGTTTCATTTGAGGCATGCCTTGAAAACCTTGAAAAATGTCTTGCAAGGTGTGAGAAGGTGAACTTGGTCTTGAATTGGGAGAAATGTCACTTCATGGTGGAGGAAGGCATAGTCCTTGGCCACAAGATCTCTCACAAAGGGATAGTGGTGGACAAAGCTAAAATTGAGGTCATTAAAAACTTCCACCTCCGATGAATGTAAAGGTAGTGAGATCTTTCTTAGGGCATGCCGGGTTTTATAGAAAATTCATCAAGGATTTCTCGCTCATTGCAAAACCCCTCAATGATCTTCTTCAAAAGGATACCGAGTTTGTATTTGATGACAAGTGTTTGGAGGCATTTAATAAGTTGAAGAAAGCTCTAATCTCTACTCCTATTGTTCAAGCTCCAAGCTGGGATTTACCATTTGAGTTGATGTGTGATGCAAGTGATTCGGCAATAGGAGATATCTTGGGTCAAAGAGTGGACAAGAAACTTTCTAATATGAGGTGTCTTGGAGCGGAAAATTTTGTGGCGGACCATCTTTCTCATCTAGAAGATTCTCAAATTCATGATGATGGTTCTCCGATTGAGGATAGGATGTTTGATGACTTCTTGTATGCTATTGAAGCAAAGGAGCTCCCATGTTTTGCCGATTTAGTGAACTTTCTTCCATGTGGGGAGTTTCCTCATTCCTTTTCTAAGAACCAAAGAAAGAAGCTCAATAGAAAGGCAATGCATTATGTCTAGGATGATCCCATCTTATACAAGCGAGGGGTCGATGGCTTACTTAGACGTTGTGTGCCAAACGAAGAGGTGCCTAGTGTTTTGAAAATGTGCCATTCAGATCTAAGCGGGGGCCATATGGGTGTCTCTAAGACTGCTACTAAGGTCCTTCAATGCGGTTTATGGTGGCCACATCTCTTTAGGGACTCATGGGGCTTAGTAAAGACATGTGACCAATGTCAAAGAGTTGGGAACATCTCCAAGAGAAATGAAATGCCTCAATAACCCATACTCGAGTTGGAGGTGTTTGATGTATGGGGTATTGACTTTATGGGGCCATTTCCCTCATCTTTCGGAAATTAATATATCCTTGTGGCGGTCGACTACGTGTCTAAGTGGTCGATGCCATTGCCTCCCCAACTAAGGACCACAAGGTGGTTATGAAGTTGTTTAAAAAGATAATCTTTCCGAGATTTAGGGTACCAAAGGTGGTGATAAGCGACAACGGTTCTCATTTTACTCACCATGCCTTTCAAAAAATGTTGAGGAAGCATGGAGTCCATCAAAGATTTGGCCTCCCATATCATCCCCAATCGAGCGGTCAAGTGGAAGTCTCCAATCGTCAAATCAAGCTCATCCTTGAAAAGACGGTTGCGAGAAATCGAAAGGATTGGTCGAAAAAGTTGGATGATACTCTTTGGGCCTATAGGACGGCTTTCAAGACCCCCATAGGTACCACTCCATACCGCCTAGTCTATGGCAAGCCATGCTATCTCCCGGTTGAAATTGAACACCGTGCTTTGTGGGCAATCAAGAATATAAATTTTGACTTGGCAAGTGCGGGGGAGAAAAGGTGGTTGGATCTTCATGAGCTAGAGGAGCTTCGGCTTGATGCTTATGATTGTGCTAGTGTGTACAAAGCTCGTTCCAAGGAAACACATCAAAAGATTAATGAGAAGAAAGCTCATGTCAAGATGGAGCGGTCCCTATTTGGTCAAGAGTGTCTTTCTAAGTGGTGTTGTAGAGGTCTCAATGATGGATTCTTCTTCTTCGTTTAAGGTCAATGGCCATCGTCTCAAGAAGTATTTTGATGGTGCTTTTGTTGGCCTTGTTCACACATTGCTTCTCCGACAACCACCTTGAATGGGTGGTAATCGTCGAGCTAACGACGTTAAACAAAAGGGCTTACGGGAGTCAACCCGGATTCCCAACTTCTTTTCTGTTTTCCTTTTTCCTTTCACTCTTTTATTTTTATTTGTTAGTCTTTGTTTTTACTATTTTTCTTGTTTTTTATTTGTTTTGTAGGTTGCATTCCATCATCCATTATGGATTTAGGGTGATTGATTAGGAGAGTACCAGAATAATTTGTGAAGCAGGGGAGAGGGCACCCCGCGGTCATGGAGAGGGCGCGGGGATTTTGTGCTTTAAAGTGGTAAAAAGAGCAAAATACGAGGAGGAACTTGCTGCAGTTGCCTCGTGGGCTCCCCGTGGGCACGGGTGAAAAGGAGAGGCCGCGGCATCCAAGAGAGGGCACGGCTCAGCAAAGAGGTAAAAAAGTGACAAATCCAATCAGTTTGCTGCCGCGTTTTCCCAGCGGGCTCCCCGCGGGCGCGGCAGAGTTGGAGAGGGTGCAACCCATAAGGAGAGGTCGCGGGCCTATATTCAGATAAAAATAATAAAAACTTGTAGTTTGTAGCCGCGGTTGCCCCGCGGGCTCCCTGCGGGCACAGGTAAGCTTGCCGCGGGCGCGAAGATTTCGAGAGAGGGCGCGGTGTTTTGGGTTAATGATTGAACCATGCCCCTCTCCTTCTCTCTCCTCTCTTATTTCACTTTACACTCAACTTTTATCCTTTTTCTCTCTCATCCTCCTCTCAAACCCTAACCCCCAATCCATCAATTTCACATCATTTTTCATTATTTCACTCAAATTTTCATCAAAATCTTTTACTTTTTCCATTTTCATCAAAGTTGGATCATCTTTCTCGTTGTTTTTTTGGGAAAATTCGGTTTCTTGAAGCACCTTCAAGCTTGATTCGTGCTTGGTCCGTTTTTGGTGTTCTTATGCTTCGTTTGTGTCTACAACTTTAGTATAATCCTAATCATTGCTCTATTTTTATCAATATTTATTGATTTTATGCATTGGTTTTTATTTACCTTGGTTAAGTATGAATATGATGATTATGGTTAATTGTATGGTGATTTTGAAATTATTTTGAGTGATTTAGGCTTATTTTTTATATTGATTGTTAATTTTGTTGGTTGTTGTCTTGTTTGAAACAGGTACTTCGTAATGTTGGGTGGTGTTGTGAAGTTGTGTGAAGTGTTGGTGGTAGTATTGGTGTTGAGTAGTTTTGGTGTGAATTCCTTTGAGTTATTGGTGTTATTTGATTTGGTGATTATGGATTTGTTAAGAAAGAGCAAGAGTATCAAGAAGTGTTCTCACCAATCTCCCGGTCAAACTTCTCAAGGCTAATACTCCAACGACCAATCTTCCCAAAGCCAACCTCCTCCCAACCCCACTCCTCAAGATAATACCCCACCTCCACCTCTATCCCCTCTCTGATTTTATAACCGGTCTAAACAAGCTCCAGTATACAACAAAATGAAAACCCAAAAGTTTACGCCTACCCGAAATTATCATCTTGACGACATGGTCAAGTTAGGAATTGATTCCGATATTGAAATCCTTCTCCGGAACCTCCATTTGAATGAGTTTGTTAAAACTTCTCCTAGAACATATTTGGAACCCACCATTCAGTTTTTCTCTACATTTGAATACAATAGGGTGGGGGATGCTGATTTTCTCATCTCTTTCCAATTGTTCAATGTCAAGCATACATTAACCCTCCACGAATTCAATGACGCCCTTGGTTTCAATCCTCATGCCGATATTTTCGAGTCAATCCTTTCCAACCCGTCTGCTTATAATGAGGCTGCATGGTGGAGAACCATTGCTAATAAGAGAACGTGTGACTCCAAGAATTCTATTGTTAGTGAAATTATTCACCCGGCCCTTAGGATTCTTCATAGGATTCTTGGGTATGCCATTTTTAACAAGCAAGACCTTGGAAAACTTTCAAGGGAAGAGATTATGGTTCTTTAGATGGCCACCAAGTCGGATTTTGGGCCTAGGGTGAATTTTAGGTACATTCTTGTGGAGTGTTGCAGGGCGATAATTAGTGGGACCAAACCCGGGGAGATTCATTGTGGAGGAATAATTACGAGGTTGGTAACTCATTTCAAACGAGAGGGGTTCTTGAGGTCTTGCACTCCGGTTGGAGGGAGTGAAGACCTGTTACTAGATTTGAAGCAACTCAACACATTACACATCATCACTAGTACGAGGAACGCCAATGTATATTCTTGGTTAGTGCGAAATGATCACTATTGCTTGCTTCCAAACCCGGCCGCAACTTCTATTAGTAGGGAGGCTAGGAATGTTTGGATTATCCCTAAGGATGGGGGGCAAGTGGTAGTTAATATGGAGGAGGATGATGATGGTGATAATGGTGGTGGAGAGGAATAAGCACAACAACAACAACAACAACAATTCATTTAACAACGACGAGGAAGAAGACATTATTGACAACAACATGACTACCAACAAGATCCCTATCTTCGGGAGATGATGGCCATGTGAGAGCAAATGGAGCACATGCAATTAAGCATGCAAGGTATGTATGTCGGAATCCAAAACTTAGCTTTTCAAACTAGTGCCTTGTACGATGCTAGTGTACGTAGGGGGAAGGTCACTCCTCCGGTTAACTACCCGTATGTGTCGGCCCAACTAGGGCTCGTGCCATCTTTGGGTGGTGATAACCTCCCTACGTATCCTTATTGGCAAGGGGTCTCAAACCCCGATGAGCCTAGACGCGATTTCCCCGACGAGTCCGATCATTATGCCTAACGGGTTTTGGGAGGAAGTGACTATAGGGGTGATCCCAACTGCCCCTATGTTCACCCCACTCACCTTGAACTTTGCGTTCAACCCGAGCCATATGACCAGTTGACCGCATCCCAACTTGACCTTTTCAAAGGTCATTATGGGTGGCCACCCGGTTACACCGGTGGTTGGGATCGCTATGGCCCCCCATCGGGCTTCTCTTATGATGGGGATGCGGGTGATGGTGGTGCCGGCCCTAGTGGCCATTATTCCCCCTTGGGTTGTTTATTTCCCCTTTTTGTTACCTCCCCTATTGTTTCCCTTGCTTGTATGCATTGCAGACGATGCACTTATTTTGTGAGGGGGGAGTCGAAAAGGGTGTATTAGAGTAGGTTTAAGTGGAGACACCTTGGACTTTTGGGGATATGTTTGAAAAGGTTTTGGTGGGTTTTCTTGCTTCGCTTTTGGTAGTCAAGTTGGTATATTGTTTGTAATGTTGTCTCGATTTTGATGATGATGTTTTGGGATTTTCAACAATAATGGTGATATTGGTTTAGGTTTTTGTACATAGTTTTCCAATAAATTTTATTTTGTTTGCTTTGGTAACCCGGTGAAAAGTCCGGACCACACACTAGTTTCGTAGCAATACTCCCCCATTAAAATATATGAAAGCTGCGGACCAGGTTGAAAACCGACGTCCCAACATCCCCCACCTTCACTGACACACATACGTCTCCCTTCATATCTCGATTTGGTTTTGTCCTGCCCTTTGAGTGAGAGCGAGCTGGCGTTTGGTACACATTACATTGTCTTCCTTATTTGGTTAAGTGTTAGATCAAATTCCAACCCCCATTTTGATTACTTGCTCTCACCTCAAAGCCAATTGCTTTTGACTACTTTCTCGTTTTTCAATAATTAATTCACCTAATTTCGGCAAATTTGTTGCAATTTTTTAATAGAAAGCTTCCCCAAATCCCTCAATTTTTCTGGATCAATTTTATTTGTAATTTGAGCTTTAAAAGGCAATTTGGGATCTTGGTTTTTCACAAATTGGATTTTCACAAAGATCCAATCACCCAAATCATTACTACTCTCATCAATTTCTTTGATTTCTTTATTTTAATTGGGGTTTCTTACCAGATTTTGCATGTCCAGCAAGTCAAAATCATATTGTTCTACAGGAAAGATGTTTGCAACTAATGGATGGTTTTATCCAATAGTTGGTATGGCGACATTAGTTGCTTTCATTTACATGTCATTTGGTGGTGAATTTAACATTAGAATTAGTGTGATTGAGGAACCAAATTATAGTTTTGTTGAAAGGGTTGGGAATCAGTTTATGTTGGATGGAAAACCCTTTTATGTTAATGGTTGGAACTCTTATTGGTTAATGGACCATGCTGTTGATGGCTTCAGTAGGCCAAGAGTGAAAGAAATGCTTCAAGCTGGATCTAAAATGGGTCTAACTGTGTGTCGAACTTGGGCTTTTAATGATGGTACCTATCATGCTCTCCAGCTTTCTCCTGGTGTGTTTGATGAGCAAGTTTTTCAGGTATATAACTTGATTTACGAGTTTTGATGTTCGTGTACCCGTCACAGTCATTTTGGGATTAAGGCTTGTTGTTATTGTGAATGAGCTTATTCTGATGTTTTCTTATTGTGCTAGATTTTGGTTATATGATCTCAAATTGTAAAGTTTGTCATAAATAAGGATGTTTGTAACATTAATTCATAGATGTGCTTGTTAATTATTACTGTTGAACCAAATGGGAATCAATCTTAATCATGTGATTTGTAATCTTTATGACGTTTTATAATTATGAGGGTTGAAAAGCAATGGTAAACAATAGATAAAAAAAAAAAGAAATCATTGTGTCCATATTTCTATTACTTTGAAGCATCATTAGACCGTTGTATATTAAAAAAATTGCTGTTTAGTGAATCTTGACTGGATTTTTGATAATTAATTTCTGTTGTAGGCTTTGGATTATGTGATTGCCGAAGCACGAAAAAGTGGAGTAAGACTGATTTTAAGTTTAGTTAACAATTTGAAAGCATATGGTGGAAAAACACAGTATGTGAAGTGGGCTTGGCAAGAGGGCATTGGGATTAGCTCTTCCAACGATTCTTTCTTTTACGATCCATCTATTCAGACGTATTTCAAGAATTATATCAAGGTATTATCTTTTGGGTTTTTTTTTAGTAGCCTGTGGATCTGTTGTATGACAAATGAAATTGGTTAGAGTTTTTGGCATCAGTCTACCAGGGTTGTGAAGAAAATTAAATGAATGCTTTTTTTTTTTCCACCCAAAATAAATTTCCTCTTTCTTGACATTTAAATAGATAAGATAAAATTGACCTCCAGTAAATTTTGATTCTTTTCCAAATTACTTTTTACTTTCTTGACATTCATTTTAAAATACATTACATAAAAATAACTTCCATTAAGTTTTGTTCAACAATAATAATAGTATGAAATATATATAAATATATATAGATTATTCGTCCGTGAAGAAAATTAGTAATATCTGATAAATTGACTAATTTTATTTTATTGTAATATGAAATATATATTTTTGATAGCTATTATGTTGTACATGCATAATTTTATCCACAATAATAACTCATAGCAAAATGTATAGATAGTTGAAATTTAACTTGATGGGTTATCACCATCTTAATTATGCAAAATCACAATTATGCAAAAACTTTAAATTGATGTGTTATTACCATCTTAATTAAATTTAGTTTGAGTTTCATGTTCATAGGTGTATATTGGTTAATTCGTCCCTTTAATTTTTCTATTATGCGTTTAGTGCTACCCCTAGTTCGGAATCCTGGATCCGCCACTGCTCATATAAGCTAGCAAGTGGGTTGTCAATTAACCATGTTTTTGAAATGGTAATCTTTTTTATTAGCAATGTCAACTCTTACTAAACATAAAATAAGGTTGACTCAAGTTGACAAGAATTTTAATATACATGTCAAGATTGAGCTTTTGCCAAACTTGACTTTTGTTTTTTTAACTGTCATCAATAAAATGAAATTTTTTTACCTATTAGAAGTGGAGGTATACGTAACGGCTCAAATCACATTGCATGAGGTAAATTGTATCATCAACATGCAAATTTTGAGTCAAGATCTTTAGGTCAAAATTTTTTATCACCACTAGTCCAAATTGGGATTGAGAGTGATTTAGGCATGTATAATATTATAACCTATATTAATGATTCCATATCATTTACTAACAACTTAGTTTACAACTTACTCATATGGGTAGAATCAGTAAAATAACCATGGTTCCCCTTAACTATTTGCTCGCAGGGAACAACTATGAATTGGGCCCAGCATTCTGCATTCTTGGGGGATAAATCCCTGCTCCCATCTACTTGTAGTACCTTTGATTTGGAACTATTCTTGATGCGTGAATCTCTGATTCCCTTTATTGATGTATGGGAGGGTATTAAACTTTGAGGAAGGCTATATCCTATAAAAATTATAATAGTTATATACCAACATATAGTGTCGTGTCCATGTTGACTGTCAAGGAATGATGTGGGCACCTCAGGTGATATCAATTGAGAATAATAAGAAAAAAGTACACCTCAGGTGATATCAATTAGAATAATAAGAAAGTAATTTCTTTTATGTCATCACATATTCACATATAAACTACATTAATGGCTTGCTGATTTTAATGGGATAAGCAACATGGGGTTGTAGTCTGGTAAGCTTTATGATAAATACTACCCCCGTTTCTTGTAAGTCGACGCGTATTCCTTTTTAGGAAGTTTTTTTTTTAGTTGACACGTTTCCTTTTAAGGTAAATTATTTACCTTGCATTTACAAGGTACCCCACTTGCTTTTTCATTTTCTCTCACCCTTTCTCCTCTCTTTAATATATGTGCCTAAATCAAACGCGTCAAATAAATAGAAGCGGAGGAAGTATATTTTTGTAAATAAATTGAATAATCATGAGTGTATTGATTTGTCTGCACCTTCTTTTGAGGAGGAGAAGCAAATTGTGAAATCAGGATAATCCAAATACATTATAACCTAGAGCTGGGTTTGATTTAGGGCATACTTGGATTGGGGGTAATACATTAAGGGGGTAATAAAAGTCAAACATGAAAAAACAAAAGTAATTAGAGGTGTTGTTGTAGAAGACATGGTGTTTACAAATGAAATAAGGTAGTCGTGCCATGAGGAAAAGAGAGAGATGGAGAAATTATTACTCTCATAATGAAGGTAATAGTTACCCACCCTCCCCCTAGTGTAACTATTACCCTCAAAATGAGGGTATTGATTCTTCTTCCTTCACCTCACACCATACCATCACTACATAATTTTCTTACAATCACACCATCACTATCTCCATCTTCCCTATTTTCACATTCATTTTGCTTAGTTTGACTTTTATTACAGGTTAATGTATTACCCCCAATCCAAGCATGCCCTTATTGTGGACATTTTCTGCTTGAATTCATTTCTAGACAAACTAGTCTTCATAGTAATTGGGATTTCATGGCTTGGAAATTTAGAATGGATCGTTCATCTTTGTTCGGTAAATAATTGCAAGGTCTAGGGAGAAAGAAGTAAAATCTGAGTGGAAAAGTTTTGCATCATTTTAGAAGGAAATATGATCTTCCTTTGACATTTACTTAGGGTTTTTTTTTTTTTTTTTTTTTTTTTTTTTTTTTTTTTTTTTTTTTTCACCTTCACTTTTCCATATTGTGTTTTTTGGTTGAGTACACTTTCCTTCATTTTCATAAGGAAAATTTATTAACCATTTTCGAACTAATCACACGTTTAATTTTTTATTTTAAATTACAACCCCTTAAATTAAATAAATGCTCAGATTACCATCTCGTGGATTTTCCGTCCGTGGACCCCACCTAACGCTTATTTTAACCCTTTTGACTGATTTTTTTCCCCGATTTTTCTCTTTAAAAAAGCTCTCCTAACTTCAATTCACATTTTTCTCTTTAAAATTTGGTAGAATTTGGTGAAGGATATGTGACTTAAAGTTTAGAGAGCGTTTTTAAAGAGAAATATCGGGGAAAAAATCAGTCAAAATAAGTGTTAAGTGGGGCCTACAGACACAAAATCCACCGGATTTTTGAAGTGGGTGGTAATCTGAGCATTTATTTAATATAATGGGTGGTAATTTAAAATAAAAAATTAAACGGGTGGTTAGTTCGAAAATGGTTACATTTTTGGGTGGTAATTTAAAAATTAACCTTTTCATAAACACCACTTGTTTCACGCTATTTCCTTCATTTTCATACACACTCCATTGTTTTCCTCTCTATCTTGCCCTCCTTGGTCACTGATGGCTTCCATTGCTTTCTTTTCTATCTTACCCTCCTTAGTTATCGTTGACTAAACATCAACAACGACGCCTTGATCCAAAAATGATTTGTGGCGGCAAATATGAATCATCATGAGGAGTCATCCACAAAAATAATGTAAAAAAAGAAATTCTGAAAAGAAAAGTGAAACGTTGAAAGTGACTGAAAAACGAGAAACAATATACTGAGCAAAAAAAAAAACGCAGGGGCAGTGTAAATAGAAACCCCAAAAGAGGAAATAACAACAAAATTTGGGAAAGTTTTATAGAGGAGGTTAAGAGGAGATAAAAAGAGGTAAAACATGCTAGTAAAAATTAATTAATATAAATAAATGACGTCCATCAATCATCTATGAACGTTGTATAAATAGGATTAAAAGATGTTCCTTGAAAGCAAATGGCATTAGAGATGTTGATTGTTATTTAAAATATTTATTCTCAGTTTTGATGCCTTAAAAGTTTTTTGATGTTGCTCAAAACCACATGAGACAATATCAGAATTTAATGGTTAAACTTTAATTGCCATTGTAACTTTTGGATATTCTAAATGTCATATTGAAAAACTTACATCCTTGAATATCCTAGGCATTGTTTGATAGTGATAATTTGACATAAGAGATAGGTTTTCAAATGTGAACCATGATAATCTCATGCAACAAAGCTAGCTACTTATTGATAAACTTATGTCTGGCAATAGATAAACAAAGATAAACTAATCTCTTGCAATTAAGGATTGTTGTAAGTCTTGCAAAAGTTGTAATCATGTGAATGCATTGTGATTGTGTCAAGTAAATCAGCTTGTCTAGGTTGGAGGAGATTCTTAATGATATCTTAGATTTAGAGTTAGTACAGTCCGTTGACGTGTTCATTGCTCTTTTTATGAAGATTAATACGGAGTACCACATTGTGGATAACTTTAGTTATTGCTTTTATTTTTATTTTTCTTCTTAGGTTTGTGTGAAGGGTAGAAAGTTTCCAATATAACTTTCTCCAAATCTTTCTTGTTAATTTTTTAGAGAGCTTTGTATTGAAAAAAAACCGGAACTTTGATGCAGTTTGGTATTTGATTGATTCAATCTATTAAAAAAAAAGACACTGCATGCTACCTTACTGATTTACTTTCTGTGTAGTTTCCTTTCATCAATCTTATTCATTTATGAGCAATTGATGATTAATATGACATTTTGTGCAATCATTTTTTGTTTTTAACTTTTCCAGACAGTACTTACAAGAAAGAATACCATTAACGGGATTGAATACCGCGATGATCCCGTGATTTTTGCTTGGGAATTAATCAATGAACCACGTTGCATGTCTGATCCGACAGGTGACACTCTTCAAGTGAGTTCTGGAGTCTCCTTACATCAGTGTTTTTCCCGATTAGAATTGTTCTTTTACGACTTGTTTTGTAGTCAGTAATAATTAGTAATGACAATTCTTTAATTAGCAAATTTGTGAAGATAATTTCATGCCAATACCTATGTTAATGTTAATCCCTCCACAAATACCTCTTTTTGTCACAATTTTTCATTGCCATTTATCAACATTTAAAGTGGTATACTGTGGTAATGAAAATTTATGGATGAGCTGGAGGTAGAGTTCCATTTACACAGTAATGAATGCATGTTTTCTTTGCAAAAGCATGTACAAATCCATTACCATTCCCACTATTATGACCGCTTATCAAACGTGCCGTGAGTACAATTGGTTGGTTTAGACTCTTGCTGTATCTAAGCAAAGTTACTATTTTGAACATTTTTTTTTGGCGTAATAAATTAATTTGATTATGGCAGGATTGGATCAAGGAAATGTCCGAATTTATAAAGGCAATTGATGAGAAGCATCTGGTTACCGTAGGCCTTGAGGGATTTTATGGTCCCAAGAGTGCTAAGTCATCTCTAAACCCCTCAGAATGGGAAGCCACTATTGGAACTGATTTCATACGCAACAATGATTTACCAACTATTGATTTTGCTTCTGTTCACATGTATCCTGATCAATGGTGAGCAGTTTCTCTTGCTAACAAACTTTTAACTTTACATGAAAGTTATATAGCAAGCAGCAGTTGCTTTAAGAATCTTCAATATTCCTTGAGTATCCAAGTTAAAGCAGAAAGTCTAGTATCAATGTATCATTCTGCTGTTGCATCTAGCGTTATATTTTATATGTCTCTATATTTAATCTATCCCTATTGTCAACATTCAATCCATTTTGAATGGTACATCTATAATGAAATAAACTAATCCCATTTCCTTTCTTAGGCTGTTAGTGGATAATCTTGAAGAAAAATTGGAGTTTGTCAGGAAGTGGGTGTCCTCTCACATTGACGATGGTGATAAACAACTTAAGAAGCCTGTAATGTTGACTGAATTTGGGCTGTCAAGTCAAAACAAGGACTTTGATCCTTCACACCGAGATAGGTTGTTCAAACTTGTTTTTGATATCATATACAAGTCTGCAAAAAAGAATGGGTCTGGTGCTGGTTCCCTTATTTGGCAGCTCTTTGTAGATGGAATGGACGATTTTCATGATGATTTCGGGTTAATCCCATGGAAAAAGCGATCCACTTATGACCTGATAGCTGGACAGTCGTGCAGGTTGGCTTTATTGCATCAACGTTCGAACTTGCTAGGAAGTTTGACAGATCTGTGTCGGCGATCGTGAATTGTTTAGAACTGCAAGAAAAATCGTAATTTTCTTACTGCTAGCTTACTGATTTTAGTCTCAGGAAGTATGTTTATTTTTTATGTTGCATTGAGCTATGCAGATTATCTTTTTATCGGTAGAGAATTGTGCTGTCTATATTCGCGAATTCATATAGACGATAAAGATAATAGACTGCAGACGGATTCACACTACTTGTCAAACTGCCAATGTTCAAAATGGCTATATTCTCGCAGATGATGTTGGTGGCCATTGTGAACAAGAATCATCTATGACATCCTTGCAAGTTTGAAGGTCAGAAATTCGGACGAGGGCAGTTTGGAGGTGGAGGCATGATATCACCATGTATATTGTCAATGAATAGAAACTCGTTTTGCCTAGTAGTTTTTGAAATGTTTTGATTCTCTTTTATTTGATTACCCCATAATTTTCATTTATTTTTTATTTTTATTTTTATTATTTGTTTACAACATTACCCTACCACATCTTTGTTTAAGAAGGCTTTTAGATTTATTTACGCAAAGTTGATTTGTCACGAAGAAAGGATTTGGGAACAACTTGGATGTGTCGGTGGCCTCGGTGCAGTTTGTATAAATGTAATATGCAGTACCAATTTTGATTTGAGTTTGTATACCTGATTATGGGCCTGCTCTGATTTACTGAACTAAATTGTAATTTTGTGAAATTCAAAATTATATTTTGACATATATATGTGAATGTTTAATTTTGATTATTTATTTTAATGTGATCTAAGCAAATAAATTTGATGTTTATAAAATTATTTCACTACCCATATTTTAATTATGAATTATTATACAAGTTTAACCCATTAATTACCAAGCTTATTCTATTTTCAAAAACCCAAGTAACAATCCTATTTTTATTAGATCTAGGAATCCTACCCACAAACCCTTATTTTCCCTCACTAATCTCACGTATTCCCTTTTCCCCTTCTCCTTGTGCTGCTCACTAACCAAAAAAAAAATAAAAAATCGCTGCTTGTTGCTGCCGGCAACAGGCGACCACCGACGCCTGTTTGTTGCTCCGGAGACCAGCACGACCACCAATTATCCCCTTCTCTCTCCTTTCGATCTTCTTTTTTTTTTTTTTTTTTTTTCTTTTGTTAATTTAATTCAAGTTTCTATCTTTATAAAATCTTGCTCTTAAATTGTTGTTATTGTGATTTGATTATGCATATAAATTATAAAGATTATAAATTTCTAAATTTTGCTATCTGTTAATTTAATGACAAAAATTTCAGATATTTTTAAGTATGAAAATTAGGGCTTAAAACCTTGATTTTTCATGATTTTAGGGTTAATAACGTGTTAATTAAGTTATCTAATTATATTAAGTATAAATTATGTTGTTATCTTGATTATAAATTAATTTTCAAGTTTTAATTGTGAATATTTTAGGGTTTAAATTGTGAAATTTGAAGGTTTGATTAAGTTTTTATGAAACTAATTGAATTCCAATGATATATTTAAAGTTAAAATTGTTGTATTTATACATTCTATTACTAAATCAAATTTTCAGATTTTAGGTTATTGTTTTTGAAGCCTCTAAATACATTGAATTGGCGAATTCTTGAGTTTAGACCCTACTAACTTAACATATAATGTAAATAATTTCAAAGATTACAATAATTTTGAGGTTTCATGTATAAATATTTTTTTAGATTGTTATTTAACTATAAACTTGCTGTAATTTCATGTATAAGAGTGTATTTTAAGGTTTTATGAAGAAAATCTAAGGAACTATATATAAGCCTTTAATTTTAACTAAAGGAAAGGTTTTAAAGTGTTGTTTAATTGAATTTGAAGGTTATAAAGTAAGTTAGTATTGCTGTACATTTGATTGCTTGGGTATTGATTGAGATTTTACTAATTGGTTTAGGAGAGGACATTATTGAAGGTATTTCTAGTTGGTAAAGTAGTCAACCAATTCGTTACTCAATGTACGCAAGGATACGAAACCCTTGACTTTAGGAGCATGTTTAAGGACTTGGAAATTTAGAATCATGTTAGGAAACTTGTGGATTAGTTGGAATTGTATGGTAGTAAGTTTAGTTAGTGATTATTGTGATGATAAGTCTTGCTCTATGTATGAGAAATGCGTATTGATTTATTATGTGAGTATTATTTATGCATTATAAAAATTTTAGTATGGTCTCTCTCAAAATGACCATCACTATTCCAAATTTTGATTGGCTAATTTTATAATTATTTTTAAACCTTGGTCAAAGGTTAATTTTGGAAATTTCGTTTTTAATTCATTTTCTTATTTCTAATAATTAATTATTGTAATTTTTGAAAATGTTTTATTTTTTGAAATTAATTTATTAAAATCTATTTTTAATAAATAAAAAATTAAGATTAAACAAAAAAATATAAATCAAAAAATTGATCTTCGAATTTTGTCGAAGTTCTTCACCATTCTTCAAATTTGTTCATCAAATAATTTAATTAACCACAAGTTTATGTTCCATGTACCATACATTCAATCACGCATCAATGGAGACCGAAAATTTTTACAGATTTATACAACCCTTGCGCAATTTTATGGTACACATAATCGGGTTCTTTCATCCTGTGGGTGGGTTCTTAATTATTGAAAAAATAGATTTTAATTGTACAATCATTACATGGATGCAAAAACGACATTTTTATATAATTGAATTAAAAAATAATGAGGATTTTGCTACTATGGGTCGTCATTCAAATCTGACAAGAAACCGTTTCATATATTTTCGTAAACCTTTTTTATATAAAAAAAACCAAATTGGAATGTAAAATATTGTTTGTGTATAAGGTATTTACTATAGGCGTCGTTCAAAGTGCATCTAACGTTAAGTGTGTGTGAATATGCTTGGCACTCATAGGAAGTGAGAATTGACGTATATCATTAAGGAAAAATATAGTAGGGAGCCGCCAACAAGTTTAAGGAACTTGTAAACCTTTCATGGATCATAAAAGACAACCATGAATAAAGGTACAACGATAGGCAATAACGATTGACCTGTGAAGGTTGCACCCCATTCATAATCCATGAGATTACTAACTCCATATAGTTCGGACCCACGAAAGGAGGATCAGAGATGATGATACGAAATGAGTCATGGAGTCACATTTGCCCTTATTGGCATCTACTCGATTCTTATTGTAAAAAGTATATCCTGCGATCTCAAAGGCATGCAAACAAACATTCAATTTGCACCAAACTAACATTAAGCTAAATTGGTTGAATATTAATGCAACACATAATTCTAAAATATCGTGATCACTTGATTAAACAATAAGATTAAAAAGGAACCTAAATCGGTTGTTCAAATTATCTTATTAGGCGTGATTTTCAATTACATATTCCCTTTAAACATGCAATAGGGTGATCAATAACAATAAAAATAACATTAATATTGAAAGCAATTTAACAATAATCCAACAATTAATACATGACAAACATGATAAAAGTTGTTAGAAAAATAATAAAAATAAAAGGAACATGATTCCTAACTTTGATTTTGCTTGCTTGCAACTATAAAACAAGTAACTTCAAGGTAATAAATAAAAAAATAGTTGAAATTAAATTAAATAGAGTTGATTTGGGGTCAAACCCCCAAACAGTTCTACCTTTCATGCCTTGGTTTAAGGATGGAACCTCGGGTAAAGTACGGACTCTTTGGAGTTCTTAAAGGAAGAATTTTGGAAGAATAGGGTAGGCTAGTGTTTAGGCTAGAGCATAGAAGAGAGATTTAATTGATGCCCCGAACTGTAGAAATAAGGGGGGTATTTATAGGGAATATGAGTAGAGGGAACACATGAACCCTAAAAAAATAAAACCCTAAATTTGGGTTTTGTGACACGGGACAATATAACGTGACGCGGGAAATATCTGTCCTAAAAAGGTTAAACGCGTGCAGGTAAAGACGCGGGAAAAACACGGTACAGGATGCCGTGATGCGGCAGCTCCCACATGTGAGCTGATTTTTATTGAACAAAGACTTTAAGCACTCCCGGGATTAAATACTCAACCCGACCTATAATGACGGTGAAGGGTTGTTCATCATCGGGTTTGGTTTTGGGTAGACATTTTTAGGTGTCTATAGAAGCCCCCACTTTGACTGGGTTTGTAGAAATGTAAGTTTTGAAAACGATAGTCAAAGTAGTCGATATGGACAGAGAATGATTTAAGATGTTCTGCGATCCTAAATCACTCTATATGCGCCAATACCTACAGAAAAATGTGAGTTTCACAGATAAAAAGAAAAGGGGAGTAGAATGTTTATATGACATCAGTGTATCGTTGGCAAATATGTTTGATAGTATTTGACACCGGTGTGCTGGTGACAAATGGGTGTGGTAGCTTTCTATGCTTAAAGAAATCCACCGAATGATCTTTGTTAAGTTACTTTCTATGCTTGAGAAAAGTTGACAGATGATATAATCGTTGACTTCTTCACCTTGAGAAGTGGAAACGAACGACAATTTTCCATGCTTGAGGAAAAACTTGTTTGATGATGAGATTGTAAGTCTCTGTGTATTGAGAACCTTACGTCGTGAATTGTTTTCGCTCGGGAGATGATCACTGATAGTTCGATTGTCCCCAAACGTGGGCTATATATGGTTCGATTGTCCCCGAACATGGGCTGTATTTGGTTTGATTGTCCCAGAACGTGGGCTGTAGAAGGTTCTCTTGTCCCCAAACGTAGGCTGTAGATGGTCCGCTTGTTCCCCGAACGTGGGCTGTAGATAGTTCGCTTGTCCCCGAACGTGGGCCGTAAATGATTAGACCTTCAAGTCGACTATCCGACCATATTAGGTGCCTGAAATATGACTCTGATGCTTGGTAAGGGTAAAATGGTAATTTTTGTAGGATTCCCGTGAGTTTTGTGGTGGGAAAATAAGCGTTCACGAAGTTACGGAAATAATCCAAACTGGTCAAAGGTTCCTGAAATATTCTAGGTACAAGTCCCTATGTTGTGTAGGTCACGCGCAAGTGTCGTACCACGTGGACATCTTCCGTGACATGGCGTATTTTTGCCGTCACACGGCAATTTTTTGGGGGCACGACGTTCCTTTCTTACCGGTGAATTAGTCAAATAGCTGTAGGAAACTTCGCTGAACATATTCCAAGATGTGTGTAGACCACTGCGCCACGTGGAATATTTTCGTGGCACGGCGTATATTGCAGGCACGTGGCATGCTTTTGTGTGACACAGCGTTTTTTTTCCCCTTGAAACAGTCATGCGTGCCCAAATTTTTTGGTTTCCGTGCCTTTAACCAACTATTTTGTCGCGTCTCGAGGGGTAACACCGTTACATGACAACAAGTACTGTGACATAAGACGTTACACTGTGTCACGACGTTTTCTTTTGTCTTTAAATTCAAAAATTCACGTGACTTCTTCCTCATTTCATTTCTGTTGCTGCTGCTCGTGTTCTCCGCTATCATTTTCGAGCTTTTCTCACTCAAATCTCTTGCTAGCTTCCTCATTTTCGATTCTTTACAAGGATCGATGTAAGTTCCTTTGCTTTATATCTCAAATTTTGCTATATAATGACCCATTTTCACTTAAAATCCTTAAAAAACCAAGTTGGGGTGTTTAGGGTAAAAATACCCTTTACACATGGTTTAATCCCGCAGTGACACGTGGCCCAACCAAAGGGCGACATGTGTCCCTATGAGAAGATGGCGTGCGTCAAT